AAGTAAATAATGCAAAAAGAGAAAGTTAACATTATCTTGGTATCTTGCAAGAGGCTGAGAGCAAGAGAATATTCTAAGATTGGGTTGCAGGAGATTTAAGAAGAATTTAATCTGCAGAATTTTATCTGAATCATGATGATGCTAATAACATCTTGAGGATAAACACAGAATAACTCTAATGCTTGTCTTTTGGCTCCCATTAGTTTTATCTACTGTAGAGGACCACTTTTGGGAAGGAAAGTTAGGACACTGTTGTCTCTCAAATGCAAACAAATGATTTTGTTCAACAACGAAGTCACAGACTACCACGTGACTATTAAACACAGTTATAATTTGTCAAGAAAGGTGTCCAGAAACACAGACATAAAATAACTGCTGCATTTCCAACTAGTCATGTTCTAATGCCTGTGTATCTTGTTTCTGTGGGTGGAAGGCACTAACTGAAGTTAAAAAAATTCTTGGTACTGAAACCAAGTAAAGGATAACTTGGTGGTCTTACACACTTGCCGCGGACAGCCCTGATTTTTTGCCAAGAATAATTACAGAGTTAAGTATTTTTGGGAATAATTACTACTCATATGACACTGCCTGGGGAACTGAAAACTCTTGTCTTTCCTTCCCTACCATGTTTCAAAAGGTTCTTGAAAGATTTTGGATCCAAAAGATATATACCAACTATATTCAAGCAATAAAAACTCAATGGCAACAACATATTTGGTGGTTAAACCAATCTGGGCAGAAACACTGGCACAGTTCTATGATTCCTATGGTAAGCCCAATTTGCCTTTAATGAAAAGAGACATCCTGAGAGAGACAACTTAATGACCTGTATTGGTTGTTTACAAGAAATGTTATTTCAGGAGGAAGGGAAATGGTGGCAAGAAGCCTGGAAAAATGATACAACTCAACAGTTACATAAAGATGGGAAGACACATGCACACGGACTCAAGAAGGATTAAGTATGCTCCTCAATTAAAAGCCAAAGTAGTGCAAGGAAAACGGCCTGGTATCTTGGCAGAGTAAGCAAAAAGAATGAATATATGGGAAACGTATGGTGTCTCAGTCAATTACAACATTTTAGTATCAGAGAAGAGCTAATTTTGTCGAGAAAGATGAAAAAAAAATTTAGTAAGCAAACCAAATCATAATGTAATTGCTATTTGGTACAATACTGGTATCATTGGTGAGATTCATATGAACAATTCCTATGACCAAATGAATGAGCAAATGTATTAGGAAACTGAATTAAAACCCCTACAAGGTCTTCTGGTAAAAGACCAGATTATCAGAGAAATGAACTAGATTTAGTTAATAATTATTATACAATTTCATAAAATTCAACATTCTGTGGTAGAAAGAGGTAAAACTGTCAAGCTGGTACATTATTAAGAACAAGTTTTCACTGGACTATCTGGGTAAACTTCACTTTTTAAAAAAGTTATAATCTACTTCAGTCATTATACAAATGGTTAGTATTTTGGTGTTTATTTTCTCGTTTTTCTGTTATATAATGTAAAAGATGCCAAAAGAAGAATGATGACAAGTGATTAAAAAAGCTTAACCAAGGGTAAGAGCGTGTGGAATGCAAAAGTGTCTATTGCAACCATGTGTTTATCCCTGGGAACACCTGGAACCAGTCATGTTGCTAACCGTTGGCCAAACCTGAATGAAATGTTCTAACTAGTGATGAATATTGTCTTGTGCTAGGGGGTCAAGACTAGGGGGCAACTTGTACTAGCTTGTCAGCACTGTTTATAGAGATGGTTTGCATCTGTCTGGTTCTTGTCATGTTCCCTTGGTTTCTGCTTTTAAGCCTGGTCATGCAACCTAATTTTGGCTATGAAACTAGAGAAATATTAATCTGGCACAAGACAAGGATGCCCTCTCTGACCAGTCCTATTCAACATAGTATTCACAGTTCTGGCCAGGGCAATCAGGCAAGAGAAAGAAAGGATATCCAAATAGGAAGACAGGAAATTGAACTGTCCCTGTATGCAGATAACGTGATTTTTTACTTAGAAAAGCCCACGGTCTCAGCCCAAAAGCTTCTTAAGCTGATAAACAAGTTCAGCAAGATCGCAGGATACAAAATCAATGTGCACAAATCCCTAGCATTCCTATACACCAGTAACAGTCAAGCCGAGAGCCAAATCAGGAACAAGCTTCCAATCACAATTGCCACAAAAAGAATAAAGCTAACTAGGGAAGTGAAAGATCTCTACAAGGAGAACTATAAACCACTGCTCAAAGAAATCAGAGATGACAAAAACAAATGGAAAAACATCCATGCTCATGGATAGGAAGAAGAATATTGTTAAAATGGCCATACTGCCCAAAGCCATTTATAGATTCAATGCTATTCCTATTAAACTACCATTGCCATTCTTCATAGAACTAGAGAAAACTATTTTAAAATTTATATGGAACCAAAAAAGCCAAAATAGCCAGGGCAATCCTAAGAAAAAGAACAAACCTAGAGACATCATGTTACCCAACTTCAAACTATACTATAGGGCTCTACAGTAGCCAAAACAGCATGGTACTGGTACCAAAACAGACCTATGGACCAATCAAACAAAACAGAACCAAGAAATAAGACTGCATACCTACAACTATCTGATCTTCGACAAACCTGACGAAAACAAGAAATGGAGAAAGGACTCCCTATTCAATAAACAGTGCTAAGAAAACTGGGTAGCCATATGCAGAAAACTCAAACTGGACCCCTTCCTTACACCATATACAAAAATCAACTCAAGATGAATTAAAGACTTAAACCCAAAACTATAAAAACCCTAGAAGACAACCTAGGCAGTATCATTCGGACATAGGAATGGGCAAAGATTTTATGACGAAGACACCAAAAGCAACTGCAATAAAAGCAAAAATTGACAAATGGGATCTAATTAAATTAAAGAGCTTCTACGCAGCCAAAGAAACTATCATCAGAAAATCTATAGGATGGTAGAAAGTTTGTGCAAACTATGCATCCAGCAAAAGTCTAATATCCAGCATCTATAAGGAACTTAAATTTACAGGAAAAAACTACCCCCGGCGAGGCGTGGTGGCTCACATCTGTAATCCCAGCACTTTAGGAGGCTGAGGTGGGTGGATCACTTGAGGTCAGAAGCTCGAGACCAGCCTGGCCAACATGGTGAAACCCCATCTCTACTAAAAATACAAAAATTACCTGGATGTGGTGGTGTGTGCCTGTAATCCCAGCTACTTGGGAGGCTGAGGCAGGAGAATTGCTTGAACCTAGGAGGCAGAGGTTGCTGTGAGCTGGGATGGTGCCATTGCATGCCAGCCTGGGTGACAGAGCAAGACTCTATCTCAAAAACAAAACAAATCCATAAAAAAGTGGGCAAAGGATATGAACAGATATTTTTCAAAAGAAGATGCAGATGTGGCCGACAATCATGAAAAAAGGTCAACATCACTGATCATTAGAGAAATGCAAATAAAACCACAATGAGATACCATCTTACACCAGTCAGAATGATTATTTTTTAAGATGCTGGTGAGGTTTGGGAGAAAAAGGAACACTCTTACACATCCCCTTTTGGAACACTGGTGGGACTGTAAATTAGTTCGGCCATTGAGGAAGACAGTATGGTGATTCCTCAAAGACTTAAAGACGGAAATGCCATTCAACCCTGCAATTCCATTACTGGGTATATACCCAAAAGAATATAAATCATTCTATTATAAAGATGCATACACATGTATGTTCATTGCAGCACTATTCACAATAGCAAAGACATGGAATCAACCTAGATGTCCACCCATGTTAGACTAGATAAAGAAAATGTGGTACATATACACCATGGAATACCATGCAGGCATAAAAAAGAATAAGATCATGCCCTTTGCAGGTACATGAATGGAGCTGCAAGCCATTATCATTAGCAAACTAATGCAGGAACAGAAAAACAAATACTGCATGTTCTATAAGTGGGAGCTAAATGATGAGAACGCATGGACACATTAGAGGGGAACACCACACACTGAGGCCTTTTGGAAGGTGGAGGGTGAGATGAGGGAAAGGATCAGAAAAAATAACTAATGGGTACTAGGCTTAATGCCTGAGTGATGAAATAATCTATACAACGAACCCCATGATACAACTTTACCTGTGTAACAAAACTGCACTTGTACCCCTGAACTTAAAAAAATAAAACACCTTCTTTGTACAAGACTAGGGCTCTTCTGAAACCAAGGTATCTCACACACATCTTGGTGGTTCATAATGCAAAGTCTCCTGTGAAACTAAGATAGAATCCCAAGAATAGTTACTTGTTTTGGAGCTCTGTGACATCTACCTGTGGTTTTTTTGTTTTCAGTGTACCATAACCCTCTACCATTATTAAAGCAATACATGAAATAAGGATATAAAGAATGATTATTATTTAATGTTAAGTGGATAAATGAAGATCACAAAATGACATTCTAAAAACAGCAAATTCTGTTGCCCCTAAATTTTTAATAGTGTTTTTCCTCTTCAAATTATACCCCTTCCTTCCTTGTTGCTTAGCTGTCTGCCACTCCCTGCACTCCCCTTCATTTGCTAACTCTATAGCTCCTGTTTGCTCAAAAAAAAAAACCAAACCAGACACTTCAAGTTTGTTAGACATATGTTGCTGATTTAAGTTAACAGGATAGGAGTAAAGTGCATATTATTCAGATCAATGAGTTTTGTGAATGATTTCACTGAGAGAGTCTTTTTTTTTTTTTTTGGAAGAGTTCGCTTGAGGTCTCTAAGCATTTGAAGTTACATTGGCAGGTGGCTGCAAAGTGCATTATATTAATAAGACACATTGTTCTCTAGATTAAGTACAATTTAAGGCCAGAAATGAGTGTGATGGAAATAGGAAAACAATGAACATTTAAAAATCATATATGCGTGATTTTAAAACTACCATTTAGAAAATAAGTTATAGAAGGATAGTGTTCTACCTATAAAACCATCTAATAGAATAAAAAGGCTAAATAAAATGTACCTTTATGTAGTCAACAAGATTTTGATATTCAATGTAGTTGCCTCCTCCCACCACAAAAACAATGGCCTAAAATGCAAACAGAAAAAAAAAAAAAACCCAACACGGTTTTTAGTCTGAGACCTATTCTAAAATTAAGGTTAAAAAATGCTAGCCAAAAATCATATTCTAAGCACCCGATGCTATTTTAATTAAGAAGTTTCTTTTGAAAAAGTCTATAAATTTCAAATGTCTTTTGAGTTGTATGAAGAAGAGATTTTTCAGAAACAATTTAGAGAAAAATAACTGTATTCTTCAATTAGGTAATACCAAATCTAAAGGGCTTTCTCCAAAGGACATTTTTGAATTTAGGGTTATTTATTGTAGGCAGGAAAAATTAGAAAACCTAGCATTTATATAATTTCCAATATATGTTATTTACTGTCTTTTTTACTGAGACGCTTCTTTGTATTTCAAATGAAAATACAGTCATGGTATCGTCACAAATGTTTGGAATCCAATTTCAGAAAGTTTCCACGCATGTAAAACTCTCACTGCAATCTTAAAGATTTCATTTCCTGTGAATTGTCAGTTATTTTTAAGCTTCAAATATTATAAATATAAGCAGCTCTATAAATTAGAAAAATATAATTGCTAGACTAAATTTTAAAAAAAGAATCTTGGGTTTCTTTTTAAGAAACACAACAGGATTTATCAAAATTACCATACGTTAATCATCACAAAGCCATGTTTCAGACAAAGATAGTCTTCAAGACTGCTTGGTCACCTTTCATCTTTCCTTTGTAGGACAGAGAATTTTTATAAGAAACTTACCTCTTGGAATGGATTTTTGTTTCTGGGAACTGAGCTGCAATAAAGAAAAACTGTACTGAAAGTTTCACCCATGGCTTTTATTATGGATAAAACAGGTAAGGAAAATATACACACATGCACTATTAGATAGGTATTCACATTTCTACCTCCTTCACCTTCTTAGAGGAGTGAGTCCTTTAATTTTGCAGAGCTGGGTAGTGAACTGAGATTGATAGAAAGAAGCTAGAAGAGGGAGATATCTCAGAGTCTAAAAGGAAATGGGGCAACCTATTACTTTAAAATAAAATTCTAGATGACTGAGCAGCAGCTCCCATGAGGAGGAGTGGAAATCTGGGTATTAGGTGAATGGATAAAGAATATATTTTATGTGGCAAATTTTTACCACACTCAATATTATATAAAGTTTGTGGGTATCTACATTTGTGGAAAAACTATAAATTACGTTTAGGAAGAATAAAAGGAAGCAAAGAGGGAATGGAAGGAAGGATCTGAATTTTGCTGTAGCTTATTTCTTAATAAAGATCCCTTAGACACCAAAGTATTTAAAATATATATATAATAAAGACATTTTTCAAAGCTTTTGCGAGTCTAGACTTAGATTTGTTTTGAGTGCTAAAACAGGCTGTACAGTATGACTTACAAGGACAACTTAGATTTTCCCCAAAAGTAATTTTTGAAAATCTCAACTGAGAAAAGAGGGCGATTACAACTTTACTTAATTGTTCAGAGGCTGACTACACAGTTCTGTCATCTTTTCCTTATTTTTATGGCCTGTCTGAATATTCCATAGAAGAAAGTACAAGTCCACCTGACTGAAATGCCTCTTTAAAGTTCCTTTAAGAGAAGACATGGATGAGGAGGGGTAAGACTGAAATAGAATAGTCTTACTAGTTATTAATCACCGAGATTTAACTATGATGGGATAGCTCAGGAGAAGGCTCTGTTTAAAATGAAACTCTAAGCTTATCTGTCTTATCAATGCTAATGTTCCTTCTCATTACCATGCATAAACTGCATTTAGGATTAAACATTTCTTAGTAAATTACCAAGAAGCCAAATACAGTCTCCCTTGGTATCCATGAAGTTCCATGAAGTTCTACCTTGGGTTCCAGGACCCCCAGTAGAACCAAAGTCCACAGATGCTCGAGCACCTTATGTAAAATGGTGTAGTGTTTGCATGTAACCTACACACATCTTCCCATATATTTTAATCTCTAGATTACCTGTAATACCTAATACAGTATAAACGCTATGTAAACAATATAACAAACTATTAGTTTACATTGTATTAGGTATTGCTTAGAGAATAAACATAAGGAAAAAAAAAAGCCTGTACATGTTCATGTCTGTTTTTCCCCCCAAATATTTTGAACCCTGGTTGGCTGAATCCATGGATGAGGAACCCATACATACTGAGGGCTGTGTATCTACTTGTTAGCTAAATGAAAGGAAGGAAAAAATGCACGCTGGAGAATCATCAATATAGGAAGGTCGCTAATCCACTGTTGTAAAGTATACAATCAGTGGTTTTTAATATATTTACAGTTTTACAACCATCACTGTCTAATTTCAGAACATTTTTATCACCCCTAGGAGAAGCCCCGTACCCATTAGTAGTCAATCCTCATCCCCCTTTCCATAATCCGTTCTTTGTCAGATTCTCTCTTGCCAACAGCAGCTGCTATTAGCAGTTCTTATGCAATTTTGGTAGCATTTCTGGTAAATTCAGGAAAGGATAACATTTCAAGTTATCAAGCAATTTAATCTAGTGACTGGATTATTTTCATACCGTCTACAAAGATATGAAAGCTTGAGATAGAGCAAATGTAAAGTTCTTAAGATCCCAAACATAAGGCACAGGCAAGAAACTAGCTTCAACTAAGTTTCAGTGCTACAGGCAAATCATTCCAGGCAGTTATTATTTCCTCCCCAATTCTGCCTATTCTTTTTCTGTATCTTGTAGGCTATTTTTCAGACCACCGTTAATCATGAAAATTAATATCCATGAGAGTATCTTACCATCCAAAGTCTATGATAAAATGCAGAATTTATAGAATGTTTCATTGCCACAAGGTGTTATACAGCAATGGTTCCCAGAGACTTTAATTTTATGGAGCAGTTAAATAAAAAACAACCAAACAACTGGTATCCAATCTAAAGCTCCTATTTTTTCAATTGGTTCAATAATATTCATTTAAAAACAGATGTTATCCAAATTTCCCTCACCCACAATTAGTTTCTAATACCTCCACCATTTCATAAAAAAACCAGTAGACATCTAAATGGATTTGGGTGTGTATATATTAGGAAGGAAAAACATGTAAATGCTAAATATCATTACTAGAGATATCTCTGGATGAGATTATACATACTGCTTTCTTACAGGTTTCCATATAGTATGGATTTTTAATAATAAGCAGTACTATTTTATAATAAATCAATTATATCCATTATTGAGGGGAAAAATCCACAATAAGTTGAAGACAAAAGCTGCTTACCTGTCATTGCCCCGCAGCATTTTGGGATCAAAATATCTATAGTCATCAGTTTCCTATTAAAAAAAAAAATAGAACTTAACCATGACTGTGGAATTTCTCTTTAGAAGGTCAGTTTGGCTTAGAGTATCCTATTTTAATGAATCTATCAATTTTGTGGAATGTACAACCATCACCCCAATACTTAATGAGCACTTACTATGTATGCGATAACCTTTATTCTGAGCACTTTAGATGAAGTTACTCAATCCCAAAAACGGTCTATCAGGTTGTAACTGTTCCCTCATTTTTTTAGACTGGCAGTTTGGGGTACGGAAAAGTTATGTAACTTTAGGAAAGTTACATAACTAGTCATATGACTAATAAGTATGGGAACTATAGGGTTTAAACCCAGGCAGTCTAGTTTCAATGCCCAAGTTCTTAACTACCATGCAAGAGAAACTAATTCTTTTCTGGAGCATTGACAGTCCTACCAAAACCTGGCTCATGACAAATACATTACACATGTTGCCACTATTTAGTCCTGTACCCAATGGTGGACACTGCTAATCAATCATAGCATTCTCAGTAAATCCAAACATAGTGTAAGGATCTTTCAACACTTTGCTCCAAGAAACCGCTACCAGTCAGACTTACAAGGCAAGATAACCTATCTGATATCTTGCCTTAACTTTAATTTATTCGATTAAGAAATGAAAGAACATTTAATAAATGAACTGATAAAAATACATATAGAATTAGATTACAGCAAGAAAAAGTTACTTTTTCTAATTAAGTAAAAAGAATCTGTCTGCAGTAATATGCCTTGAGTTATAAAGTGAAAATCAAGGGAACTATCTATATACTTTCTTAGCTTAGAGAAACATTTCAGTAAGATCCACAATATAGTCATCCCTGTGTTTATGGCAGAGAAATGTGGATGTAGGTTGGAATGAGCACCAGGCAGGAATATAGCAGTAGTAGGTTTTGGGTTCCAATTCTGTTACTAAAAGTAGTGTGACCTGGAAGTTACAACATTTCTTGGTTGCCTCTCCTACATTGTTAAGATGACTTATGTTTCTTTAACTCTATAGTTCTGTGATTCCATGAATGGAATAATCAATACAGCATAATGGTAAAAGAAAAACTTGGCCTTTGGTTAAAATCCCAGGTCTGCCATTATTAGCTATGTGTCCTTGGGCAAGTAAACCTGACTTCATTACACTACAGTGTCCTCATCTATAAAAAGAAAATGGTAATAATACTAGTACTTTTCTCAGAAAGTCCTAATGAGATAATAGGGGAAAAATGCCTTTTTTTTTTTTTTGAGACAGAGTCTCATTCTGTCACCCTGGGTGGATGGAGTGCCATGGGTGTGATCTCGGCTCACTGCAAACTCTGCCTCCCAGGTTCGATTCTCTTGCCTCAGCCTCTAGAGAGTTGGGATTACAGGTGTGTGCCACCAAGCCCCCTGTAATTTTTTTGTATTTTTTGTAGAGAGGGAGTTTCACCATGTTGGCCAGGCTGATTTTGAACTCCTGACCTCAACTGATCTGCCTGCTTCAGCCTCCCAAAGTGCTAGGATTACAGGTGTGAGCCACTGAAAAATGCTTTGAATGATTTCTGGCGCATGATAAGTACTCAATAAATGTTAGCTATCATCATTATTATTGTCATTATTTTTCATCTCAACTTCAAGATTAGGGATTCTAACAAAATATCATAAATTCTGTTTTCTTTTTTTGAGATGGGGTCTCATTCTGTCACCCAGGATGGACTGCAGTGGCACAACCTTGGCTCACTGCAGCCTCAACCTCCTGAGCTCAAGTGATCCTCCCACTTCAGCCTTCTGAGTAGCTGAGACTACAGGTGCACATCACCATACCCAGGTAATATTTTCTACTTTTTGTAGAGATGATGTTTCATTATGTGGCCCAGGCTGGTCTCAAACTCCTGAGCTCAAGTGATCCACCAGCATTGGCCACCCAAAGTGCTGGGATTACAGGTGTGAGCCACTGCACCTGGTCGATACAAAAATTTCTTAACCCCCTGTATATTTAGTATCTGTCTAAATTTTTGCATTTACTTATATTTTTAATCTTTATAGTTGCTTGGCATACTATCTCCTGGAAGTTTACTGCCTATTATGAAGCAGTATTCTCTAAGATAATTAGTCATAAATGTATTCCTCTCTTAGTCTTTTTTCATGTATTCTAGGATGTAGTGATAAAGTCTATCATTATTTCATTGTATACCACTTTATCTGTATTGATTCCCAGATGGAAGAATCTACTCCTTTTTAGCTTATCATTATAAACAATTCTCCCATTCTTTTCATAATATTAATTGCCCTTTTGAGATGTTTTATTACACCCTACCTTTGTTTTCACACCACTGAATTTTAAAACTTGTTTTTGTTAGTTTCTTCTTAGGTTATTACAGTCATGTTCGACAATTACAAAAAAAGGTCACACTCATCTGAAGATTCTGTTCGCACTCTTTCTCAGCATTGGAATCCTAAGCCTCACTGCCAAGTCTATAGGGATTTAGATCAACTCAAACCAGGGTTTTGATGTGGGTACCATCATACTGTTTTTGATTCCAGATTCTTGTGGTAATAACCACCTTTTGGTTGTGACAGTAACAGGATGGGATGTTTTATGAAACAGATTGTGATGATTTTTACATTCCTTTCTTGAATTACAAACAGCTTAGAAACTGTTGGGTGGAATATGGGAGGGATAGCATGGGGAGAAATGCCAGATATGGGTGAAGGGGAGGAAGGCAGCAAATCACACTGCCTGCCACGTGTGAACCTATGCAACTGTCTTGCATGTTCTGCACATATACCCCAAAACCTAAAATGCAATTAAAAAATAAATAAATAAAAAATAATAAAAAAAAGAAACCCATTCTTTAAGTCAACACTAACAATACAGACCCATTTGTCTATTCATCCAGTGATTTCATTGTCAATTTACTTCTTCAGCCCCCCGAAATTTAGTGCCCTTTAAACAGATGCACTTATAATTTTTACTATGCACTTCTTGCCTAATTTAACTTTTATAAAATTAAATTGGTTTGGTACTCTTCATACTATATCAACTGATGCTCACTGGTTCTTTTTTCATTTACAGAAATTTGTTCCTTAGGATATATTTTACATTTAATTATACATACAGGATATAATCTACATTACATTTGAATGAGAGCTGGCTAGAATGGGTATAGCAGCTGAGAAAACCAATTCCAAGAATCTGTGATAATGGCTAAAAAAGGCTTCTTGAAAACATGGACTCTTCCTTTCCCTCATGTATTCTGCTGTGATTAAGCTCACAAGAAACTCAATCTGATTTTATTCTCTTTCATACTAGTCAGTTTGATACATTCAGGAATTTACACAAAGTATAATGTTACACGGTACTCACAGGGTTTGACTTCATCTCCATAAGATTGTCCAAAATACGAGTAACAGGTAGATTCTGTGAAGAGATGAGTATTTTGTTAAATATTGGAATAACAAACCAAAGTTCCTCTCTATTAAAACAACCTGATTATTCTACAGTTAAGTAAGCTTACCTTTCAATTAAACATATTATAAAATTAAGTAGTCTGTGAACGGTAAAGGTGATGTCAAAGATGTAAATACCTTTGGCACTACTCAAGTTTCCATAGGAAAATATAATTCTAAATAAAATGCTCCTTTAAATGTGTACGTGTAGTACACATGTATTTAGTATAAATACATGTTTCTGGGCTTTTTACTTTGTTGAGCGTTTGCTTTTAATACTAGTAACTGCAAGCTTTTGTTCTGATCAAAGAAGAATCCCTTTTTTTTTTGAGATGGAGTCTTGCTGTCACCCAGGCTGGAGTGCAGTGGTGCCACCTTGGCTCACTGCAGCCTCTGCCTTCTGGGTTCAAGTGATACTCCTGCCTCAGCCTTCCAAGTAGCTGGGATTACAGGCTCATGCCACGATGCCCAGCTAATTTTTATATTTTTAGTAGAGAAGGGGTTTCGCCATGTTGGCCAAGCTGGTCTCGAATCCCTGACCTCAAGTGATCCATCCACCTTGGCCTCCCAAAGTGCTAGGATTTCAGGCATGAGCCACTATGCCCGGCTAGAATCCCACTGTATTTTTTTTTTTGAGATGGAGTTTCACTCTTGTTACCCAGGCTGGAGTGCAATGGCGCGATCTCGGCTCACTGCAACCTCCGCCTCCTGGGTTCAGACAATTCTCCTGCCTCAGCCTCCTGAGTAGCTGGGATTACAGGCACGCGCCACCATGCCCAGCTAATTTTTTTTGTATTTTTAGTAGAGACGGGGTTTCACCATGTTGACCAGGATGGTCTTGATATCTTGACCTTGTGATCCACCCGCCTCGGCCTCCCAAAGTGCTGGGAATACAGGCTTGAGCCACTGCGCCCGACCTCCACTGTATTTTTTTCATTTCCTCTTTGTGGATTATAAAAGTTTTCTTTAAAAATAAAGTAACTTCTAAAGTTTGTGAAAATGCATGAGATTAAATGATGTAAGAGTTCATTTCCAATAAAAAGCTATTTTTTGTACTTTGGAAAATGGGGATATGGATACATGAACAACTTTATTGATCATTTTTATTTTGCTTGGGATAAATACCAAGTTTTCAATGTTGCACTACATTGTCTTACAGAACAGATTCCAGTGTGAACATAAAATGTACAACACAGGTGCTGGTAAAAAGTTGTCTCTTGACATGTTTACAGGTTATGGCATTAAGAAATACTGTTACATTTCAGTCTGACAAGTTTTATTATTTTGAACATAACACGTCAAGTTTAGAAAATTTAGTAGGTGACTATTATGTCTATTAAAAAGTACATTCCCAGTGAAGTGTTATGCTGTTCATTTTGAACTGGTATTTCCTTTGTGTATTATACAGGATGTTTTGAAAAGAATAGTCTTGATTCTATTGTACTTTCTGTATTTTAGAGACTTCATACAACAAAAACATTCAATCTGACTTTATAGATCAGATACAAATCTATAGATAATACATTACTATCTTATAAGGATTTTTCATTTTCTTAGATCATAAAACATTTTACTGTTATTAAAATGGACTATTACTAAGGATACTGTTGCCTTCCCTAGGCTGGTAAAGTAAAAACCTTTTTAAGATGGTCTTAGGCAAGTAAAATTAAAATTAAAGCTGTTTCATTACTCTTGGATATTTGTGCTGGCTAGGTACTTTCAAATATAAATACAAGCACCAAATGTTCAAGTGGTCTGAATATACTTCCTGAATACTATTTAGATTTTTTTTTTTTTAAAAGGTGCCTCAAAATGTTACCTTTTAAGTTTTGTTTCAGATAAGATTGAGTATGTTCACTTAAGAGTAAGTCTAAACCAATTTCTCTAAAGAGTAACTGGGTGCAGATTTAAATATGCTTTAAATAAAGCAGATTTTAAAATGCTTTATCCATAGGAAAAACTATAGTTATGCATTCCAAGTAATACTGACAAAATATGAAGTACTTTGCAACATAACAAGAAGAAATGATTAAAAAATTCTAGAAACACAGAACATTATAAATTGTTTTGTAACATTTTACTAAAATTGACAACTTTATATCAATTTCTCTTTTTACACTGAATTCTGTGTTAGCTTCCTGCACTGTACTCTTAGATCTATGCAATGGAGAAAAGTCCTAAAAGACTGTATGTAATGATAAACCATAGGGTTATATTATTTTTATTATATTTGACAAAATAATTGGAAGTTTGAATATTCACCAATATTTCATGATAAATATTTAGTATAAAATGAGATTTTCCTAAGGATACAATTAAATTTTACTTTGTGTTTTATAGTTCTGCTATATCTGAAGACAAGTCTGCCAATGAATAGGTCATAAATAACATGAGAAAAACTTCCTTTTTTTTTTTGAGACGGAGTTTCGCTCTTGTTTGCACTCCAGGCTGGAGTGCAATGGCGCGATCTCGGCTCACCGCAACCTCTGCCTCCTGGGTTCAGGCAATTCTCCTGCCTCAGCCTCCCGAGTAGCTGGGATTACAGGCACGTGCCACCGTGCCCAGCTAATTTTTTGTATTTTTAGTAGAGACGGGGTTTCACCATGTTGACCAGGATGGTCTCGATCTCTTGAACTCGTGATCCACCCACCTTGGCCTCGCAAAGGAGAAAAACTTCTTTCTAGCAAAATTGTTCAAAAATTAAACAGCCCAGAGACAATTCTTTCTTTTGTTTTTGTCTAGTTCTTACAACCAAATAACACACCAAAATCATCCACTACTCCCATACAATACAATATTCACACAGTCCCACATATTAAAGGAAGCTTCAGGTACAGAGAATAATTTTAAAAAATACATAATGTCTTTCAAACGTAGGAGAGAGTACTTCAGGAAACAGCTTTTGAGATCTTTTGCCAGCTAATGCTCTAGCTAGCCTCCATTCTTTGCCTAGGTAAAGGCCTGAATTGACTTAATCATTCAAAAAAAGCAACTATGTATTTAGAATAATTTACATACCAGGTTAACCAAGTTTTGCTGGTTAAAAAAACCAGATTTTAGCAGCTAACATACTAGCACATGGAAAAATCAGAAAAAACCAAACAAAACAAAAAAACAAAAAAAAAAAACCATACAATATTCTTTGCTCAACAAAGTGTGTTATCTTATTTGTCTTTAGAAACACAAAAAGTTTGTGTGCTTCAGTAAAAAGAGTATAAAAATTTTATCAAATGAAAAACTCAATTGTTTTAAGAATTCCCAACCAGATTCTTTGTTCTTAGAAATTGTTGTTTGGAGACAAGAGACCTCAACAAACGGCTCCCTGACACCACAGCCAGGTAAATCCATGAAGATGGAAAAAAACCAGCACAAAAAAGATGAAACTATCAAAGACCAGAAGAACTCTTCTCATTTAAGAGATCACAACTCCTCAACAACACAGGAACACAACATGACCGAGAAAGAGTGCGACAAACTGAAACAGACTTCAGAAGGTGGATAATAACAAACTTTTCTGAGCTAAAAGGAACGCGTTCTAACTCAATGCAAAGAAACCAAAAACGCTGAAACAAGGTTAGACAAAATGCTAACTAGAATAACCAGCTTAGAGAATAACATAAACGACTTGATGGAGTTGAAAAACAGCATGAGAACTACGTGAAGCAAACACAAGTTTTAATAGCCAAATCAATCAAGCAGAAGAAAGGATATCAGAGGTTGAAGATCAACTCAATAAAATAAAAATAGGCAAGAGAAAATAAAGACAAGAGAAAAAAGAGTGAAAAGAAGTAAACAAAGCCTCCAGGAAATATGGGATTATGTGAAAAGACCTAATCTACGCTTGATCGGTGTACCTGAATATGATGGGGAGAATGAATCCAAGCTGGAAAACATGCTCCAGGATATTATCCAGGAGAACTTCCCAAACCTAGCAAGGCAGTCCAACATTCAAATTCATGAAATACAGAGAACTCCACAAAGATATTCCTCAAGAAGAACAACCCCAAGGCACATAATCGTCATATTCACCAGGGCTGAAATGAAGGAAAAAATGCTAAGGGCAGCCAGAGAGAAAGGTCAGGTCACCCACAGAGAGAAGCCAAACAGACTCATAGCAGATCTCTTAGCAGAAACTCTACAAGCCAGAAGAGAGTGGGGACCAATATTCAACATCCTTAAAGAAAACAACTTTCAACCCAGAATTTCATATCCAACCAAACTAAGGTTCGTAAGTGAAGGAGAAATAAAATCCTTTATGGACAAGCAATTACTGAGAGATTTTGTTACCACCAGACCTGCCCCAGAAACATTAAGCATGAAAAGGAACAAGTACCAGCCGCTGGAAAAGCAAACCAGTTGACAAAGACCAAAAATGCAATGAAGAAAATGAGTCAAGTAACGGGAAAGGAAACCAGCCAGTAACAAAATGTCAGGATCCAATTCACACATAACAATAGTAACATTGAACGTAAATGGCCTAAATGCCCCAATCAAAAGACACAGACTGGCACACTGGATAAAAAGTAAAGACCCATTGGTGTGCTGTATTCAGGAAACCCATCTTACATATAAAGACACACATAGACTCAAAATAAAGGGATGGAAGAAGATTGACCAAGCAAATGGAGAACAAACAAAAAGCAGGGGTTGCAATCCTAGTTTCTGATAAAATGGACTTCAAACCAACGAAGATCAAGAGAGACAAAGAAGGACACTACATAATGGTAAAAGGATCAATCCAACAATAAGAACGAACTCTACTAAATATATATGCACCCAACACAGGAGCATCCAGATACACAAAGCAAGTTCTTAACGACCTAAAACGAGATTTAGACTCCCACACATTAATAGTGAGAGACTGCAACAATCCACTGTTAATATTAGACAAATCAACGAGATAGAAAATTAACAAGGACATCCAGGACTTGAATGCAGAGCTGGACCAAGCAGACCTAATAGACATATACA